TGTTTATTGGAGTGCTAAACATGTCCTCGTACTGCTTTTTTTAGAATTTCACTGATTTCTTTGTCATCCTCAGTGTATGAACCTTCACTCATATAAATAGGTCCAATACTGGCAGTGGTTTTTGGTTTTGAATTCACATATGTGAAGAAATATTTTGGGTTTTTCTTTATTTCTTGAATTGCTTTCTGTTCCAGTTGCCTTTCTTCAATCTGATACGAATGCTTCAGTCTCTGCTCGATTTCTTCAATCTCCATGTTTAAATTATTCCTTCCTTGTAGGGAAAATCGTGTCTGCATAAGCATTTACGTTATTTTTTCCTTCTTTTGTAGTGTCGTCTATGTTCTCTTTCTACGTTGGACCTCTTTCTGGCTTTCCTCAAAAGAACATGTTTCAGATTTTATATAATTCAGAAGTCAGTTTTTCCATTCCTGGTGTGGGTTTTTATTATTAGAACAGTTTCCCATTGAATGTTTGTAAGTTCCCTGTTTATTTTCTCCCAGTCTATCCTTTTATTATTAAAACTGAATTTACTGAATTACCCCCTCTCGCTTGATAATTGTTTTGGGTCTATTCTGCGTATTGATGGTCGTTTGAACTCTAATGAGCTTGTGATCTGAGTATGTAGTACCTGAGATCATAATGTCCCTGATTATGTCTTAACTGTTTGTGAAGACCAGATCCTACCTTGAGATTACCTTGAGGTGCTTCCGGGGCTTAGCGTCCCCGCGGCCCGGTCGTCGACCAGGCCTCCTGGTTGCCGGACTGATCAACCAGGCTGTTGGACGCGGCTGCTCGCAGCCTGACTTAATATCTAGAATATTAGATCTCGCAGATCTAGAATATTTTCGTTCCTAGTTGGCTCTGATATCTGCTGGTTGAGTGAAAATTTGTCACAGAATCTAAGTAGTTCTCTAATCTGTCGTTGGTTATGTCCCAATAGATTTCCTGGTATAACATTATTGTTTGCTATTCTCCACATTAAATTAGGCAGGTTGAAGTCACCTAGGAAGATAATATCAGGTATTGGGTTTGTCATATTTTCAAGGCTATTCTCTATTTTCTTTATCTGTTCTGTAAATTCCTCAGCCATTACACTGTTTTCAGTTATCTTCAGATCACAAACAGGTGTTTTCCCGCCAGAACAGTATTTGACCTTATTTATGGACATTACTAGAAAGACTAGCAACAAGTGAGTGGCAAGATGCTTCCTTTAAGCTGTGTCAAAAACAGATTTACATGCATTGTAGACCTCTAGAGTACTCTATCACTGTTGTTGTCAATTATGTGTAAATACTGTTCCACACTGTGTAAACTAAGTGAAACAGTGAACATACAAGCTACCCAGCCTGATCATAACACTTTCTCCTTAAAGGCAAATCAGTAAAATTGGATTACCACAATGACCCCTTCACTCAGTTTCCTATTAACGTGCATGAAACCCCTCCCCTCCCCTCCAAAAAAAGGAATATTACAGTATTTTTTTGTGTGCACAGGCAGTGACACTATTTATAATAGCTATACAGTACTTAAAGGGTTAAGATCAACTCACTTGGTTCTAGCTCCTTGCAGCATCTTCAAGATCGATGAGAGGAGTATCTCTTCTACACGAGTTCCCATCTTATAATGGTTTCAGAGGATCTGAAGGCAATATCAAGTTCTCTCCAGTTGCAGCATCTATAAAGAAACAGATAATGTGTTGTAAGTGAATTGTAAGTACAATACATTATAAAAATGGGATACAGAGCAAGCACAGATGACTTGGAAACAACATAGAGAAATACAGTATTCCTTTTACCAACTCTGCTAATAAGAAACCAGTTATCAAGAAGTCGCTAGAGAAAACAATACATTTTTTGCACAGAGAAATCATATTCACGTGATGTATCAATGAGAAGATCAGTAGGAGCCGTGATGAGGATTCGAACCTATGCTCTGCGTACTCCCAAGCACATGCCTTAGACGACTAGGCCATGACATGGTCAAAAGGATTGCAATCTGGGTCGAGCCCAGATTGCACTAGTCGAGCCTGGCCTCGGGCCGGGCTTGGGGAGTAGAAGAACTTCTAGAACCCCATCAACCAGGTACTAACCAGGTATCTGGGATTAAACTGAATCCTCTAGGGTTCTAGAGGCTTCCACTGAATCCTCTAGGGTTCTAGAGGCTTCCACTGAAGCCAAATCAGGATTTCAAACCAAAAGGCATGGGGAGACTGTGTGAAACCTTGGTTTGGCTTCAGTGGAAGTCTCAGGAATCCTAAAGGATTCAGTTGAATCCCAGGTTGCAATCTTTTTGATCATGTCGTGTACTAGTCATCTAAGGCGTGTGTTTGGGAGTACCCAGAGCATAGGTTCGAATCCTTATCACGGCTTCTACTGATTCTCAATCAATTTTTGATTAGTGAACATTAAAAAAAACCTTACGTATTATAGAGCATGAGTTTTACCGACAGTAAAACTACATGTTAACTAGATGTGTCATTGTAACGAAGGCAATCAAAAGAGAAATGCTTCTTATAGACCAACACCTAACAATACAAACAAGGTGCAACCAGCACAAGGGTGCGCAACTAGAATAAAGCTGTACAATCAATACAAGATGTGTAAAGGGCATGAGGGTGTACAATCAATACAAGGGGGTGCAATTAGCACAAGAGGAATGTATATATTGATCTCTCAGAATGTTCGGTAATATGTTTATTGTTTGTGATGTGTGTCTCTGTATGTATTAACACGATGTACTGAACGGGGTGAGAATAGCTTGAGCTACCTCATCCCTTTGTGTGTATTTTACCTCAATAAACTTATTTCAATTTCAATTAGCACAAGGGTGGTAGGAGGAAGGCCATGGGAATAGGCCATCTTTAAGAATGTGCAGTTTCATACTAGGAATTCACAATTGCGTGAAATCATTAAGCAAAAATCATCCGAGCACTCTGGGGGTTCGAACCAGCGTTCCGAGTCTTCCCCAGTTGCAGGCCTTAACCCAGGAAGCACATAAATTTGATCAGGATAAATAATGTAGTAAAAATTGTTGGCAGACTATGACCCCACCTGTGAATAGAACAGAAGTATAAATCCTGAGAAAAAAAGGTTAAGGTAAAGGCATTTTATAATACTAGTAGTAAGAGTGGTATAAGCTTTAGGCACTGCCTGAGGCCCCCTGGCTACCTTGGGCACTGCCTTGGGTACCTCAATGAAATTCAAATCTTCCAGTGTCCGAAATCATTCACACGGCCACTGGGCGAACCAAAAATTTGCATTAGGAGCATCTCTTCAGCAGCCAATCCATTAGTAACGAGTTCAATCAGTAAATGCCAGTTACGGAGGCCACCACTCCCTACGCCCAGTATTGTAAGGTTGGTCATGTGGGCACCCACTCTCAGCCGCCCAGTTCCTGAACGCCCAGGCCATCCACTCATAATGCACCCTCTACACTCATCTGATATTAAACTGATTATTCGGAGATTATTTATTTTTGTTGTTGTTGGGGGGGGTGACAATTTTATAAATATATACGATATGAGACATGAAGACGATTAACAGCCTGAAAGGCGAGTAACTGAGCCTGAAATATGAATGTGTCACTATTGGGGGGTGGGGGGGGGGGGGGGGGGCTGGGGGGCCGTTGTCAAACTAACAGCCAGAGATAGATGGCATCACACGGGGGATTGTCAAGTTTTCCTGTCGCCTCACACAAGTCAATTATTGTTTTTCCTTTCTATTCAAGTGCTTGAAATGGCCATATTTTTTTCTTTAAAGGAGGCAGAGGCTCGTTTCCTATTAGAAGAGTAGTTGGCATCTTCACTTATTCAACTTTTGTAGGTTGATTTGTCGTTGTTAACGAGAATACCGTCTCTCCAAGTTTATAAACGCGTACTTGTGATCTGACTTTAGAAATACTCCTGGTGTTCTGTTACCAGTAGAGAATGGGAAATGTATCAATTAAGGCTCTTACCAGCACCATCCTCCTTCCTCTGGGCCAGATGTTTCAATTTCCACTTCGCTCTTGCTCCTCTTAACTATTCTGAAACGTAAGGCAGTTTACAAATTTTAATTTCGGTTTAAAGTTATAATCTATTAATATATTCATAAAGTTCACTCAGGACACACAACTCCAAAGCATGAAATTGATTGAACCTTCCAATCATGAACCTGAGAATGATTGAATCACATGATGAGAATGATAAAATCTTCAAATTGCAAACATGTGAATGATTAACTCACCACATCACGAACATGGAATAAGTATATAATTAATATATATATATATATATATATATATATATATATATATATATATATATATATATATATATATATATATATTACACACACACACACACGCACGAGAGCAGGAACAGGCAAGCCATAGATCACTAAGGACTCTACCAGGATTTGAACCCACAACGTTCAGTATCACCCCCAAATGTATACATTACTGTGACCCCCACATCATTGACCGTGTGGTGGTTTGTCGTAAAGTGTGTACATCACGATAACCCATAATGTGTTTACCATTTAAGGCTGTGTAGTGTATTAACGATTTCTAAATTATCTGGGTACTAGACTCTCTGAAAAAGACCCAAAAGCTACCAAATACTTTTAGTGCCTCAGTGTGGATATGTGGGGAAGATGCACACTGCATTCTCGATTCCTGCTCAGTATACAAGGAGCTTTAGGAGCACTCTAACTTTTGACATTTAAGGTTCTATTTTTTTATGTAACCTATTTAGATCTTTGTATTGGAACACTTTTTTTTAGGATGTGATAAATTCCTATAGTGATGTTTTAATAGGAATGCATTAATGTATATGTTGGAAATCTATTAATATTAAATTTAATGAAAGTTAACAGACATATATTCTGGCTAACGAGATGGAGAACTTGTAATTTCAATTAACTTTAAATCTGTGATCAGGGTAATGGTGGCTCCACTGTATATATTTTTTATGTGGCATGCACATACCTGCTTGATTCTTACCGTCCACTTTATTGTTTCAGGCACAGGCTACTACTCATATGCAAACAGTGTGTCGCCTCTCAACTCTCCTGGAGGCGAGGTCGGGGTTGACTCTGGAAGCAACACTGTTGGGCGAGGTGGTAGCGGTCCAGGCGTCCACCTCTACCACTTGGTGCGAGCCTCTGACGACAATGCCTCTGGAACTCTGGGCTCCTCCAGGGACGGCAGAGACCGCACATATGGCACACACAAAGCAATACCAGAAATATTCCTTACGCGGTTGTTGTCCACTAAAGGCACCGTCCAGCAGTTTGTCGACGACTTCTTCAGAACCATACTCAGTGCTAACGATGGCCTGCCTCCTGCGATCAAGTGGCTGTTTGATCTGCTAGACGACGCTGCACGTGCCCATGGAATTATCGATCCAGAGGTCATCCATGCCTGGAAGTCCAATTGCCTTCCCTTGAGATTCTGGGTTAACTTTATCAAGAATCCAGACTTCATCTTCGACATAGGCAAGACTCCGACGGTGGACTCTTGTCTGTCGGTCATTGCACAGACATTTATAGACTCTTGCTCTACAACAGAGCATAGACTAGGAAAAGATTCCCCCTCCAATAAATTACTGTTCGCTAAGGATATTCCAAGATACAGAGCGCAGGTATGTATATAACTTCTATTTCATATGGTATAATATTTTATATCAACTGATTGTTAACTGATTTGAAGCATTGAAGCATTTTGTTGGATAATCCTCCAGCTAATGACTTTCTTTACGCTTCAGGTGAAAAACTTCTACAGTGATGTATCGAGTGCACAGCCTGTTAGTGAGCAGGAGCTGGGGCAACACATGCAGCAGCTCTCCTCGGGGCACACTGGCCACTTTGACAACCTGGCCGCTCTCAAGGAACTCTATATCTATGTCACCAAGTACCATGAACTAGTAAGTGTCTTTAGGTTTTAAAACATTTACTGCTTACAATCTGTGCGATACTGAAACATCGGAGCTGCAATACTATTTGCTTCTCTTGAAGGCTTTGTTAAAAAAAAGTATAGTCTAACATAGCCTTGAGAGACAGTCTATTTTGAATTGTTGGGGGGTGTATTGGCCCCCCCCCCCTTTCTTATAGAAAAAACTGGGAAAGGAGATTCCAAACCCAGCCTGTCCTCTTACAAAGAACGTCGGTTTTTGCTCTTATATTTTACTTAAGCCAAAAATCGTCGTACTAGAAAATGGTAGCGCCTCGCAAAATTGACATACTGTCCTGTTTTCTGTTTTGGGTCCTCTGGTAGGTTAGGATAAGGCACTTTAGTATAACAGTTTCTTGATGTTGGGAAGCCTTAGATGGTGGGCTGCAAAACAGCGTGGTTTTGATTTTTTTTTTTAGGGGGGGGGGGACCCATCAGCCACATACAGACTGGCTGATTAAAGAAAGTTAGTACTATATACTTTAGTCCTGAACATAATTGAAAACTAAAGTAAATTTTCAGTGTATTCACAAATGTTTGCATGTTTTCAAATATCTTCCAAATAGTTCACACTTAATATTAACATGAATTTCTCTATTCTATTAGGGGTAGTTCTTCCAGTATTAGGCATTATCATTGCAGGTTAGGCAACTCTGGATATAAGGTGCTATATAATTCTTCAGTTTATATGAAAGACAAGTCATGCTTCAGAAGACAGGTGATGAATTCACCTGGAAAGTGTGGAAGACTTTCGTGGTGTCTACCGGACCTCTTCATCCTCAATATATACCTATTTTTCTTTTCTTTTTCTCCAGATCCTGGAGTCATTGGATGCTGACCCATACTGTCGGAAGCTGAACCTGGCCCATCGCCTGCAGTCCATTGGGTATATCTTGGAGTCTTACAGTCACGCGGGACCTGTTGCGCCCATGCCTCCCCTTCAGTTAGCGGGGCAGCTTTCCGAGCTGTAACGACCTCTTCGCCTATCTTCCCCTTTCAAGAAATGGGTGTTGGCTTGCCACGTGACAGTTTGTGTGGATACTTGGAAAATATGGAACATAAGACAATACCGAACTTCTTTGTGACCAGAACAGCTACTGAGACTATTCAGTACAAGTGTTCTTCCATAGTGCAATAATCTGTCGAAGATAAAGAATTACAGTATTTTATCCACTCTGCATACACATATGCAGTTATTTATATGGAATTTAATTAACAGTTTTTTTTGTTACTCAGAGAAAATGTCACTGAAAAACTTGATATGATGGTGATTAGTGTATATAATTTATGAACGTTGATAGTGACACTGATAAACTTTGCCCTCCGGCAAGCTGAATGTGATACATTGGATTTCATATTTATGTGTTAGTTGCTGTGGTCTAGTACTAGTGCCTAAGGATACAATGTTCCTTGTTTGACAAAGTGCTTATAAATCACTTCTCACGTGCAAATGTGCAAATCTGCCGTTCTTAACCAGAGTTGACTGGACACGGCACCAAAAGCGGATACTTCCCGTCAGAAACTCCAGCTGCTGTGTTAGTTGACTTTTGTACATACACACTTTTTTTATGCCCTAGCAAGCTGGTGAGAATAGTAATGGAGAACAGAGTGGATGACTGCCATATGGATGTATCATAGTCCAATTTATAATGTATTAAACTACATTTCATATACCAGTCATGCATTTTTTATACTGCTTTTGCAATTTTTGGAGCTACGGAATCTCAGTAGATCACCAATGCCTCACTTTTTTTTTTATTAAGCTTGGTGCTATGATATCTATGAGAAAATTGCCTTTTTTTTCTTTATGAAAATAATGGTTTCGCCAGCAACAAACGACAAGTACCGAGAGTTTTTCCCATCTCCATCCAATGCATCTTGTCCACTAGTCTGTTGTTTTTCTTGTGTAATTTATCCACTTTGGACAGTTTGTACATAGCCGTCTATTGACCCGATAAAGATGAGTCGAGTCTCTCTCTTGTATATGATTTTAAGTATGTTTTCTAATTTCATGCAACGGTAGTTGAAGAATGTGACGTACATGTCGAGATTTTTTTTTTTTGACGAAACATTATTTTTCGCATGAGTGACTTTAATGGCCTTTTTTTCTCCAATATTTGTAATCTGGTTCAGATCTCGAGTGGAGTTTGTGACAGTATCGTATATACGGTATAATTATAATTACCAATTTCTTTAATCTGTATTAATGGATTAATTTTTAATTTAATTGTGATATATCTTTAGTTAACTGCTCTGAAAGGAACACCTTTCATTACTTCCAAGCAGATCTGATTTTGTGATTCAACTTGTCTTAGAATTAGCATCAGTCTTACTAAACCGCTATCCCACGGTCACTTCAGTCACACGGGAACCTCTTGACGATACAGAACTAAAATTCGAATGTTTACCAACACCTTTTTATACTCTCCTGCCCTCGTGGATTATTTCTTGTCATTTTATACTGTCTGCCCTCACAGTTCTAACTCGCCTCCTTCCCCAGACCCTCGCCCCTTAACACAGCTCCCACCAGGATGATTAGTTATAAATTTGCTATGCAACAATAAACTGCTTTCATCTGCTGATGAGGTGACGATGAAGAATTTTGGGGACATTGTATAAATCTGTACAGAGAACTTTTGTTATTGTAAAGTATTTTTGTAAATGTGAGTATGAGGGCATTGTGTAAAATCTTGCAACTTTACTACAAATAAAGTGAGTGCCAAGAGATTAAGACGTGTTAAGTATCCATCATATATGAATGAATCTACATATTTAATTCAAGAATAAGGAGTTTGGAGTCATCCAGCACTGCCGAAGACTGTTTTATAGTGATATAAAAGAAAAAATTCTTCAAATATTACGACATTGGGAATTGTGTCAAGAGAATATTAGATTGATTGTTGACTCAAGACATTTCGCTGTCTCTCAAAGTTAATATAACGAAGACACAGGCCGGTAAATTGGAGGTAAGTCTTACTACTAATCTTTAGTTCAGTGCTTCTGCAGCACATTCAACTCTGAACACAAGTACAATGAGTTGAGAAGTACATACCTTTTAGACTAACTACATGTTGCCAGCTATCATGTCAAGTGTTTCCTTCACCAGGCTCCTAGTTGTGACGGGTGTCAAGGTGACCTGGGCGACGCATTATGCAAGAGTAGCCATTGTCCGCACGTGGCTGGTGTGTGTCCCATAAGTTGTATACGGTCTTGACCCATCCTGCAAAAGATGATAAATATGAGGCGAGTGTGAAACAAATGTAACCAGTTTAATAATGCTTAAAGCCACTGTACAGGTAACTAGAGGGAAAAGGGGTGCGAGCATACTGCTACACAGGCCTCAACATACTGTAGGCTGTATAACAGAACCTTTATACTGATACATATAGTATACAGATAGGTGTACACACAGTTTACTGTCCAGTGTTCATTGCCAACTTGTGGTGCTGTTCAAGATGACGTTCAACAGAGCGCACAATAACCAGCTTAAAATCTTTAGCTTAAATTTAATGATCTATCCTGTACATCATATAACCATGTTCTTAAAATTATTCTAAAAGTGGTTACAATAACTTGACTGTACTAAAATGCACTCGCCTGCATCGACCTCATTTGTCATAATCTATTTTCTTCAAGAAACTAACATGTGCTCAGGGCCACCCAAGTTTGGGGGGAGGGGGGAGGGACAACTCAGATGATGTGAAGAGCCAAGCAGCGGGGATTATGACCACGCGTCGACGGTGGCTCGGTGATAATGTGGAATATCATGTGGAATATCGAGTCTGTGATATCCCTGTCTGCTGGCGTCCTGCCAAGCAGCACAAGGCAGCGTCCCGTATGACCACATTGTCTCCCAGATGATGGGTGGGGTCATAATGCTGCCACCGGCGTCGGTGGTGGTTTCTGCCGGGAGTCGGGGCGGGAGATGGGATTGGGTGCTTTGGTGGCAGTGGGGGGATGGGCTGACTAGGAGCTTTGGTGGCAGTGGGGGGATGGTCTGAATAGGAGCTTTGGTGGCAGTGGGGGGATGGTCTGACTGGGAGCTTTGGTGGCAGTGGGGGGATGGTCTGAATAGGAGCTTTGGTGGCAGTGGGGGGATAGTCTGACTAGGAGCTTTGGTGCCAGTGGGGGGATGGTCTGACTAGGAGCTTTGGTGCCAGTGGGGGGGATAGTCTGACTGGGTGCTTTGGTGGGGATGGATTGGGGGGGGCGGTACTAACTGGATACCTCTGTGGAGGCTAACACTGACTTACTGGAACATAAGCTTTGTGAATGGCTGAATATTTAAATGTGTTTAAATGAATTTACTGGTAATGTGAAACGAGGATGGCTCATTCACACCGCTATCTGGGTGGTTAAGACAACGCGTTGAGGACAGTTTCATTGTCTAGTGTACCTGCTGCTTTATTTTGTGTTTTTGTTTCTTCGGCTTTGATGACAGCAGAACGACACATTATGGATACTAGGTACAATTGCAACGCCTTATATTGTCTAGGCTACATTTGGCATGGAAGGTGGGGGGGGGGGGAAGGGAGGTGGGGAGGAAAGGGAGATGGAGAGGAAGGGGGGGGGGGTAGAGACGGATGAAGGGTAGTGTCTGGAGACCAGAAGTGTGGTGGTGCAGTGTGTAGGGGCGGTGTGAGGAGACGGGGGCATCCATTGTGTCGAGATGGGGGAGGGGATGTGCTCGTGGCCGGATACCCCACATCTAGCGTGCGAGTGAATGACTAAGCATCAGTTTTCAACAATAATCCAATGATCCCTCAAGGATTCGGACCTGTGCCGCCAGGATATCCTCCTATCGTGCCACTACTTATGAGAACGACTGCTGGCGGCGTCGACATGTCTGGGCAGAAGAGTTTTAGGCTGCAACTCGAGCAATTCTGTTCAGCAAAAAAGAGTTGCACAAAACTCAATTTCACCTAATATTGTTGACATGGTGGGCACTAGAGCCCCGGTAACTGGACACGGTGGGCACTAGAGCCCCGGTAACTGGACACGGTGGGCACTAGAGCCTCAATAACTGGACACGGTGGGCACTAGAGCCTCAATAACTGGACATGGTGGACACTAGAGCCCCAGTAACTGGACACGGTGGGCACTAGAACCCTGGTAACTGGACACGATTGGCACTAGAGCCCCAGTAACTGGACACGGTGGCACTAGAGCCCCGGTAACTGGACACGGTGGGCATTAGAGCCCCGGTAACTGGACACGGTAGCACTAGAGCCCCGGTAACTGGACACAGTGGGCACTAGAACCCTGGTAACTGGACACGATTGGCACTAGAGCCCCGGTAACTGGACACGGTAGGCACTAGAGCCCTGGTAACTGGACTCGGTGGGCACTAGACCCCCGGTAACTGGACACGGTTGGTACTAGAGCCCCAGTAACTGGACACGGTGGGCACTATAGCCCCGGTAACTGGACACGGTGGGCACTAAAGCCCCGGTAACTGGACACGGTGGGCACTAGAGCCCCCCGGTAACTGGGCACTAGAGCCCCCGGTAACTGGACACGGTGGGCACTAGAGCCCCAGTAACTAGACACGGTGGGCACTAGAGCCCCAGTAACTAGACACGGTGGGCACTAGAGCCCCGGTAACTAGACACGGTGGGCACTAGAGCCCCGGTAACTAGACACGGTGGGCACTAGAGCCCCGGCAACTGGACACGATGGGCACTTGAGCTCCGATAACTAGACACGGTGGGCACTAGAGCCTCAATAACTGGACATGGTGGGCACTAGAGCCCCGGTAACTAGACACGGTGAGCACTAGAGCCCCGGTAACTAGACACGGTGAGCACTAGAGCCCCGGTAACTGGACACGGTAGGCACTAGAGCCCCGGTAACTGGACACAGTGGTTGAAGAAACGAATATCAACAATAGCTGAGGAGGGTCAGAGGGGGACTGAAGACAGTTTAGCCACAGGTTACGGAGACACGACCAGGGTAGTGAGTACTGGTGTTGAGGCTCTGCACGATACAGTGATCCCGAGGCCTCTGCCTCCTAATCTTCCCTTCATTCCACTTAAAACATTCCATGAAGAACTAGACATTACAACAAAAAGTCTCCTGAATATTTTCCAATCTTCGGGAAAATGTGTAATTTTTACCTATTACTGAAGCTGGTAGTAAAAAAGCAAGCTTTATTTACTAAAACGTTGACATGAAGTAATGATTTGTCTGTCTGACAGCCACTCCTGGGACAAACAACTGTTTTGCCTCGTCAGAAACGTACTAACGGAAGCAGCCCACCTATCGAGGTGTTTTTATTTTAAATAATATATTGCATTTTCATCAGATGTCCATATATTTCAGATTTCATCAGATTTGTTGATTCCATAAAAAAATGGGACATGTTACGTGAAAGGACAGACTCAGATTTGAGTCTCATCTTGTGACTCTGAGGACAACTGCAACAGACCGGAGCGCAAATTATGAATTCAACTAAGTTATTACGAACCTTGTTAATGAATGAGTGAATTGGCAATCAACGAGCTGGGTATAAGTGATTACATTCATCTCGCTGAATTATCAAACCAAACTAAGAGGTTGCAAGAGTTTCAAATAAGCATTAAGATATACTTCGTATTAATTTTTTGTGGCAATGAATATAGCGAACACCTAGAAGTGCCGGACCAACTGCACTGTGGACCTGCAGCTCCATGCCCCCGTAGCAACAGCCTATTGGACCAAGCTCTCGCTAGTCAAGTAGCTCTCGTTACTTTACTCTGGGGAGTAAAGTAACGCTGAGAATCGACTCGAGAATGGGTCCAGGACGGACCGAAACGTCGTCGTCCATTCACTTTCCAATGTGTGGTCTGGTCAACAAACTCTGAGAACTCCCTGCAGGTACAATCCAGGCACCTAGAAATAATCCAATACATGGTCCTGATAAGAGAAGGGCCGGAAGGACCTTCGTCGCCAGCAGGAAGTACGTGTCTTCCCCACAGGTTTGCCAAGATCTTCACAACCCCTTCGGAAGTGCTGAGCACATTTATGTAACCACTCAACTCCCATATTGTGAGGGAGTTGTCTCACTCCAGGCAACCTTAAGAGCTTTGGTGGTTACTTCGAGCTAAGAGACGGCACGATAATAGTCATTTATATATTAACCTGGAAGTTAATTTATCTCTTATGTCTAGACGATAGTTCAAGGCAGGATACCTTTGTCACTTTTACCGCGTGTTCAGTAATATATGTCTCGATTTTATTGTTTAAATACCTCTGGGGGTACGACATTGCATATTAAGTATTGCAACGTGAACAGAGAAAACCATCAAGTTGATTCATAGACACGACACTCCCTAAACGGCCCATTCTCTTGATTTGTCGCCCCGTAACCTAACCAGGAACGCAAGAACCTAAACAACCCACCTAACGTATCACTCCAATGTATAGAAAACTTGAATCTTTGTGAGACGATACTTTTCATAGTAGATCGCATGTGTGACATTGCTTACCACAACATACAAAACGCGACCTATTAGTTAAAATGAGTTTCGTGAGCCGAGACATGGATACCATGTGGGAAGACAATGACGGAACTTTAATAAGAACCTGAGGGCCGCTTGAAGCAACATCCATTTGAACCGAGATATCAAAAGTATGTTGACCAGACCACACACTAGAAGGTGAAGGGACGACGACGTTTCGGTCCGTCCTGGACCATTCTCAAGTCGATCTTGAGAATGGTCCAGGACCTTCACCTTCTAGTGTGTGGT